TCTCTCTCTCTCTCTCTCTCTCTCTCTCTCTCTCTCTCTCTCTCTCTCTCTCTCTCTCTCTCTCTCTCTCTCCTTGCTGGCCCAGATTGTTTTATCAGACACGTTTGACCTGATACCAGGACGCTAACGTTTGCCTCATGATGGGCCTTGCTTTCTCGGCCTGACATTTTTGTCCTGATATCAGGATTCAGGAAGCTATGTTCCCTCTGGCGACAACTCAGGAGAGGCTTGGGCGAGCGTCGTTTTCAAAGGGTTTCACTATCTTTACCTGTTTGCGTTTCAGCTTCTGTGGGCCTAAGCCTGGTTGAAACTTGAAACGCCTGTGTGGAAAACTGATGAAGGCTTGGGAGGCAAGACCCACAGCTACCTGTGTTTTGTTTAGAGTCTTAGACATAATAGTCAGTCGGTGGAATTCTTCTCCCCTTTCCTTCAGGATCTGGGAGAAAAGAAGACCGATGTTGTCTCTATTCTACTTTGCAAAGAGGCAGGAACAGCTTGTGAGAGACAAGAAAAAACAGCATTACATTAACAGGACTACATGATACCGAGTCCGAATAGAAGGAGGCGCCTGGAAATTATTGCACAGCGAACTCCTATGTTCTCCCTTCTCCTCTGCCCGCTTCAACCACTCCGCCCTCCTCCTGCGCCCTTGGTCCTCTCCCCTCGCCACCTCCCTCTTTCGTTCCTTTAGCATGCTGGTTCTCTTGTTATGGATTGAAGATGATCAAAGAAGTGATTGTTTCGACCGCTGCTTGGGAGGTTGGCTAGCCCGCCATGCCGAATGTGTCAGTGTGGGCAACTTCAGAGGGCCTCTTCTGTTTGAACTGTATTGTACACAGATGCTGCACCTCAACAGTGCTCTCATGCCTGATAGGCACTATTGGAGTCGCTATCTCTGTGGTCACTTGGTGAAAACAACGTTTTCTATTATGGGCCGCTTCAGAATCAACCACTGCAGCGGCGTTCCACACAAATAATTCGCATTTGCTGTCCCAAGACAACAACCGTCAGCAGCACCATCGCATCCGGGTCTCCCTCTTTGCACCACCTGCGATGGTTGGTCCAATAAGCAACCTCTTCATCGTGCTGTGTGCCCGTCATTTAGACGGGTGTGTTCAGATTGCTATTCGTTGGCAGGATCTTGCATTCTTCGCATTTAAGTTTTTATTTATTTATTATTATTATTATATTATTATTATTTTTATTTGGACCATTTCTCGATTTATGTGTGTCATCCTTGCGCAGGGGCCATGCTAATCTTCTCTGTATCGTTCCAGTTTTTACTTTTAACGGATGTCCCCCATTTAAGTTATAAACCGAAGCTGACAGCTAGTAAACCAATCTCACAGATCACATACGGCAATCCCACTTGTCCCAACCTACCATCCTGCGTACGTCATTCCCACTTGTTCCAATCTACCATCCTGCGGAACCACAGCCTAGGGAACAATGCTGGGAAGAATAGGAGTCCCAAACAGAGGGCGATATGGCATGGAGTCTCGCATCCATGTTTGCCACCAAGATTACTGACTGGGCATACCCAGTCCCATCCAGGTTTCAGATTCGTTGCAGACGACTGGGTTGACGCCATCAGCGCATACACGGTTACACTGCGCATGTCCGTCATGGGTGAGCAGGGAGCACAACCCCTGTGCCCCTCCATCTTGTTCCTTTCTTTCCTGTTCTTCACCAGTCAGCTCCCGTGCCCCTGCCCCCCGTCCTTTCTGTCCGGTTCGTCACCGGTCAGTATGTCACTCACTTTCACCCACATACGCAACAGACCCTCTGCTTCCTGCTAGCCAAAGACAACAGGACTGTGTTACTCCGCCTGACCTTCTTTCAGGACACCATTCAGTGTTGACAAATGTAAGGTGTGCATAATTGCAGCTGCAGGGTTCCGTGGGCCGTAACACGGGGTAGTGTAGAATGATCTCCGACCCATAAGTGCAGCTGTCAGGGTTCCGCCTGACCTTCTTTCAGGACACCATTCAGTGTTGACAAATGTAAGGCTATCGACACACTCCGAATTGGGAGGGTGGGAAGCCCCGGCCACGGACCCAACCACACTGCTCAGACCCGAAACGAAGGTGGTGAGGCCGTGAGGAATGATCTCCCGAGTTTCCCATCTGCTCGCCATTGCCCAACTTCCGTCAGCCCAGCCTTCTCGTAATCTCTTCTGCACATCAAGAGCCTTGTTGTAGTCGGGGTTCCACATGAACATGCTACCGAAAGAATGTCTATAGAGAACTGGGCACACCACCAGAGAGTATAGGGGAGCCATCATCAGGGATAACCATGAAAGATGAGCAGCCGAAGACTATTTAAAGTACCCAGTTCCAAATTGTTAAGAATGCTACATGCTAACCTCCCTCTGTTTCACAGGAAGGAAAACAGGTACCACAGCTTTACAGTTGAAGACTGCCAAGCAAGGTCACTGTACCAAAAAAGACGCATACTGATGCCATCTCTTTTTCTTTTTTTTTTCTTTTTTTTGGGGGGGGGGGGGGGGGGGGGGAGGGGGTTAAAAGAACCCCTGAAGCAGCCTGAGGTAGGAGCAGACACCTCAAGCTACCCGGGGGGGCGGCTCCATCTATTGGTGGGGAGCTGCACCTGCTGGGAAGCGGGCCCAACGTTCCCTTTACATGTTGCAGAATATGTATACTAAGTTCAATCGGAGTATGGCAGGTCAGTGCCTCTTCATCCCGAAGGTGGGCCGCCTCAATTATGCATGACAATACTGGCTACTTCCCCATCTATTTATCTGTGTGCTGAGTGGTGGTGAGGCTGGCTGCGTCCGTCTTCGTCCCTTTGAGTCCCTAAACCCCTAAAGTTCGTCATAATGTACATAATTGGGCCCCTTAAGTCCCTTAACCCCTAAAGCTCCTAAGCCCTTGGCAGCTAAAACCCTACCCTTCTCTTCAGCCAGAATAAACATCAATGGCTACGACGTCTGCCCTTCAGGCGGAGTCGACAGCAGTGACTCTTGAGTTGCTCTCTCCCGGTAGGCCATCCATCATGTGGCTTTGACTCTCTTTTCCGTTTAACCGTGGATGAATATGAACTGCTGTTCCCTGCCACAGGGTTTTACTTCTGGAGAAGCCCACTATTGACGATGATGCAGGCTCTTGATGCCATCTCGTTCCTTGTTGTTCTTGAAAAAGATGTGCAAGGAATGATCTGTTACACTTTCTTCTGCAGCGTGGCCACATAGATCCAAAGGGAGCACACGAAGGACACTCCATAAGAGTACACATACCTGCAGACAAATCAGAGAAACATGAAGAGAGTCAAGAGACACCATTCAGTGAAAAGGTGGTCAGGGCATATTGAGTACACATACGGTGACATACCTGCACAGAGAAAACAGAGAACTCGTGTCAGAAACATGAGAAAATAGTTCAAAAAATCATCAAAATACCATTCAGTGAAGAGCAGATAATGCCCAAGCCTGGGCACGCGTGAAAATTCCAGATTATCCAAGAGCATATAATAATCACATTGCTGCCTGGCACATTACCAATTGTATCCAAGTGATATCCTGTGCGTACGTGTGTGTGTATGTGTGTTGTCAGGAATCCCCAAAATCTCTCTCTCTCTCTCTCTCTCTCTCTCTCTCTCTCTCTCTCTCTCTCTCTCTCTCTCTCTCTCTCTCTCTCTCTCCATCTACAAGCCATTACAAACCATCCATGAAACAAAAGAAGTATAAGTGTGCAATATATAGAAATTGCGAGGTCCCCAACGTTCATGTGTGTGTGTGTGTGTGTGTGTGTGTGTGTGTGTGTGTGTGTGTGTGTGTGTGTGTGNTGTGTGTGTGTGTGTGTGTGTGTGTGTGTGTGTGTGGTTGAAGCCCGGCAGCGTGTGTGTGTGTGTGCGTGCCTGTGTGTGTGAGAGAGACAGAGTGAGTCGAGCGCGGTGCAGGGCGATCCATGACACGGCGGGGGCCCTGGCCGGGAAGTTGGACAAAAAACGGCGCCAATTGAAATGGCTCTTTGCAATGGACAAAGGCGGCGTGAGGTACCCAAAGTTGCCTGCTATCTCGGCCGTTGGGCCCGAGGTACTGGGCCAACGGCCTAGATTCAGGCACTGTCTTAAGATCTTAAGACTGTGTCAATCCAGGTCGCCGGTCCGGTAGCCCCCGACGGCCCAGATCGCAGATTTGTTACATTTCTTCGACGATCTGGGCGGTCATTCCGGTAGCACCCGACGGCCCAGATCGCAGATTTGTTACATTTCTTCAAGGATCTGGGCCGTCAGTCCGGTAGCACCCGACGGCCCAGATCGCAGATTTGTTATATTTCTTCGATGATCTGGGCAGTCAGTCCAGTAGGACCACGACGGACCGGATTTCAGATTTGTGACGCTAGCGATTTCAATAGTGTAGGGACTAGGTACAAAAACTGCCACCCAGATCATGAGGTACAAAAACTGCCACCCTGATCATGAGATACAAAAACTGCCACCCTGATCATGATAATTTGCACTGATGTAGGAGAAAGATATCAAGAAAATAACAGAGAGCATCAGACACACCCAACACAAGATGATAGAACAAGCTAACAAACATCATAGGCCATTGCGGTTTGCTGTCGGCGTCCAGGTCAAGTCTGAGAGTTCCTATTTGAAGAAGATCTGTCTCAGAAACTGCTACCTGCATACTGTGGACCATGGGAAGTGTTAGACATAGTTGGGGACGACGACGGACCATCATATGTCATTGATGTACCTCAACATTTGAAGATTTATCCAGTTTTCCATGCCTACAAATTACTGCCCTGCATTTGAGATGATCAGTTCCTATGATTCCCCCTGGTATTGATTGTAGCTATGATGTAGATTGCATTGTCAATGAAGCACCTCGTAGATCAGGAAGGAGAGCTCCTGGAAGACCACGGAGACAGTAAAAGCGTGGGTACCAGTTTACAGGCTCAGAGGACCTCTAGACTGACCAAGAAAGTTGTAGCCTTTCTCAGTGGACCTCAAAACTCCGCCAGGGGCGACGGCCGAATCTGTCGGTGCCACGCTCGTTCCTATGTCTTGTTGGTGTTTGGCCATGAATGTTGTGGTGTGTCTAGGCTGAAACCACATTGAAGTCTTTCATTTCTGTCCCACTGACACTTGGAGCAGCTTTCTGAAGGACCGCTGCTTCTAGTTGGGGCGGGAAAAGCAGTGAGAAGGGAGCACTGGAAGGCGGAGATCAAGGCGCACACGTGCACGCGAGGTGGGGAAATGCAGGCGGATCTATCATTCTCCCACCTCGCGCCCACGTGCGGGCCTCGATCTCTACCTCACCCTGCATGTCTCCCCACTTGTCCATCATCCCACAGTTTGAAGGCCAGGGCTTTGCCTTTGATGCATGCCACCTTCCCTGTTGCCATGGAGTTTCTTCGAGTCTTCTTTGAACTTTCGCCCTTTCTGTGTTACCCACATCCTTTACCTTACCTTCCTCCGTAGCGCCCGGTGTTCTGTCTCTATTTGTTGCTGGCTCAGGATCCGTGCTTGCCGTACATGCATTAGAATTACTCTTTTATCAATTCTATTGACAGCCTCCCCCATATGATCCAAAGTAGGGCTTTTCTCAGAATTTCAAACAGGCTAGTTTCAAGAGGGCGCCGGGCGTTCAGAGTCTCGAACCCCAATAGAAGTATAGGGGGGTTGTCTGGGAAGCCCTTGGTGATCTTTTCCCATAGTGCCGAGGCCTTCCGTGATAGAGGCCTTATTCTCTCGCACAGCAAGACGCAATGAAATACATTTTTCCTACTTGGCCCTCTAAACAACCGGCGCATAGCCCTTTTAGCAGACTTCTCTCTTCGTTACACCGTCTGTTGTTCAGCCACATCTTGACTGCGACCGCTAGATAGAGTTGTTCAGCCATTGTAGACTTATAAATTTGGGGGGTCTCGGGATAGGCACTCGTTCTCATGGGGTATACTTCGCCAGTAAAAGAGTGGGTCCACTTCTACTGCCAGTTCTTTTTCTCTGGTGTTGTCATCTTGCTTGGCTATCAATTACTACTATTTTTTTATTTTTTCACCTCTTGAGGTAGAGATCGAGGCCCGCACGTGGGCGCGAGGTGGGAGAATGATAGATCTGCCTGCATTTCCCCACCTCGCGTGCACGTGTGCGCCTTGATCTCCGCCTTCCAGTGCTCCCTTCTCACTGCTTTTCCCGCCCCAACTAGAAGCAGTGGTCCTTCAGAAAGCTGCTCCAAGTGTCAGTGGGACAGAAATGAAAGACTTCAATGTGGTTTCGGCCTAGACACACCACAACGTTCATGGCCAAACACCAACAAGACATAGGAACGAGCGTGGCACCGACAGATTCGGCAAAAGGGATACATTCGGCAAAAGGGATACAGTCATCGGGCATATTCCTAGAATAGACACATTTTGGCTGTTCGCCCTAGCAGAATGAGAGGACCAATTCCAACTGTTATGGGTACACTACCCTGGGCTACCGACTGGGCTGCTCAGATCACCTTGGCTGCCTGGGCAGCCCAGCCAGGCAACGTCTGGCAAAAGGTCCCTGCAAAAAAAAAAAAAAAAAAAAAAAAGTTATGCCGATTCTGGCATCATTCTGCAGAATAAATATTAAATAGAGTCAATAGACTAAACAACTTTTGCCTCAGCCTCACACTGAATTTTTTTTTACCAAATTGGAAAAAAAAAAGAACTAAAAATAGAAAAAATTACGGTTTTTCTTTTTCTTTTTTTTTTTGGGGGGGGGGGCGCGGCACGGGGAGCACTGGCCGGGCAAGCGGTTCTGGGCCACTCTGGTAGCCTAGGTACTGTACCCTTTTAGGGGGAGGGAAAGTGATTCTCACTTTCCCCCAGGCATGTGTAAAAAAAAAAAAGAAAAGAGCATGACAGTCAATTCTTCCTCATGGGAAGTAAAATCACTGCTGTGAGGATCCCTGGGCCGTAATGTGAGGAAAGTTAGGGAAAAATAATAAGAGTCTTTTTTTCATGTATCTTTACTATCTTCTGACTTGCCAAGGGAATAGGAACCAGACTGATGCTCCCCAGAATGGAAATGGAGGCAGGCCCATAAGGGACATGTCGTTTGAGAGAAAAAGAAAGAAAGAAAGAAAAACAAATGAAGTTAGTTAATGAACATTACGGTATCAGTCAGCCTGAGTCAGAAAATTGCACAATGTAAAAATAGGGATGTTGCAAGAGGAGGAGAACACAGAAGAGGAATGTTTGACAAACAGGAGGGGAATGGAGCGCACGTGGCAACTGCAAACTCCACATTCTTGCTGTAGTTTTGATGAATCTCGGTGCTGAGCACCGCCTTTGTTATAGACTCCGGATCTGTAAGTGGCATGTTGAGTGGGAAGCCCATCTGGCAAAAACAACCATGACAACACAGCAGATGCCACAACAGAATAGGGTGTCCCTCAGTCACTTCTGCTACTACTTTTATCTGTCCTTTTCTTTTCTTGGTTTTGCTTCTCATTTGTTTTCTATAACTTGGCTTAAGATCAGGCTGTGTTCTTGTTTGCTGTTGTTGTGGTGGTTTGTCCGTTGTTGCTGCTGTTGCTTTTTTGTGCTTGTTGTTTGTAGTTTGTTGTGTGGTGGTTGGTGGTGTTTGCTGTTTGCTGCGTTGTTGTTGTTGTTGTTGTCGTCGTCGTCGTCGTCGTCGTTGTTGTTGTTGTTGCTGTTGTTGTTGTTGCTGTGGTCGTTGTGGTCGTTGTTGTTGATGGGGAGTGGTGGTTGTTGTTGTTGTTGTCGTTGTCTTTGTCGTTGTTGTTGTTCATGGGTAGTGGGCCATGGTGGTGGTGGTGGCGGTTTGGTTGTGCAATGATCGTTGTGGTTTGTTGGAGTGCTGGTGCTAGTTGTGGTTGTGGTTTGGTGGTGTGGTACTGTTAGATGTGGTTTGGTTGTTTGGTTGTTTGGCTGTTTGGTTGTGTGGGGGTTTGGGGGTTTGGGGGTCAGGTGGTGATGGTTGCTGTTTGGTGGTGATGGTGGTGCTCTTGACTGTTAATTGGTTGTTTGCTGGCGCTGGCGGTGGTGGTGGTGGTGGTGGTGGTGGTGGTGGTGGTGGTTGGTGGTTGGTTGTGGTTGATGGTTTGATGACGTGGTGGAGGGTGGTTGGGGGCTGGTTGTTGTTGTTGGTGGTGGGTGGTAGTTGGTGGTTGTGTGGGTGGTGGGTGGTGGGTGGTGGTCGTGGTTTGTGGTGGTTGTTGGTTGTTGGTTGTTGTTGTCGTTGCTGCCATTGTGATTGGGGTTGGGGTTGATGGTTGGTGGTTGGGGAGATTGATTGTTGTTGGTAGTTGTTATGGGTGGTGGTTGTGGTCAGTGATGGTTGTGGTTCAACTTTCTCTGAGTACACTCTTTGAAGCCTTTCAATTGTTCAAAAGAACTTTGTATCAGAAGTTGGAGGTTCTCCTAAGATGTCAGCCTGTTTCAGACGCTATCATTACATTCCTGCACTGCATCAAAATCAGGCTCGAAACATCACCCATTGGATCATTTGTGATCTGATGGTTGGATAGCACCACTGTTTTCTCTTTTTCACTTTCTGCATCTCAAATAATGTCCTGCGCTTGTCACAGTCTTTGGTGTAGACCGTTCCATGTGGTAGTGGAATCTCAGACCAGAAGCCATAGCCATGATGCTTTTTCTACCTAAGAACACGGAATGAGGGAAATAAATCGTCAAGTACAATAACTAGGCCACTTGCTCAGATGAAGGAGGCTGGACATATGCATACCACATCATGAGTCTTCATGAAAGGCGCCAGTGCACTGTAATGACTGTCTTCAACATTGGAGCTGACAAGGTCCTCTGATAAAAAGGACCCAATGGCATTTCCAAACAAAATGCGATTTCGATCCATGCGGAACAGAGGAGACTCATCCTCGCTTGTTGTGGGTAGGGGGAGTGCCTGCTGCTGCAGCTCCAGATCCTTCAACAGCTGCTTCAGAACTCGCGTGCATCTGTTCACAAGAGAGAGAGAGAGAGAGAACGTGAGAGACAGAGAGAGAGAGAGACAGAGAGACAGAGAGACAGAGAGAGAGAGAGAGAGAGAGAGAGAGAGAGAGAGAGAGAGAGAGAGAGAGAGAGAGAGAGAGAGAGATCCTTAGTTCTCCTGAACCTGCTCCTAGCTGCTTTAAACATCCAGTCCTTCGTAGGGCCCCTTCCCTTCTTTTCGATCCGGTTACAGGGATAGGCCATGGTCAGATCCATGCAGTGGGCCAGTACGTCTGCTGTTTGACAATGTACGGGTATAGGAGATCGTCCATGAGCTTCTTTTCTGATTGCCCCCGCTTTTTCACCGATGGCACATTGGGGCCGCTATGGGGACGGAGGTTCGGGGTGTGGGTGGTCACAACCACCCCTACATGGGACTCATATTTTTCTACCCTAGTGTCAAGGAGACCCTGACAGGAGCAAAAATAAGAACAGGATAGTCATCTTCAGGAGTCTTTGGGGCCTCCACAATTTTCAAAAGTTGAATGAATCCAGTTGGCCCAATGAAAATAGGAGCATGCTTGCCGCATCTTGTGTGCGCACGGCATGCACATGCGGCACACAGCACACGCACACCCAGGTGTGCGCACGTGGTACCGCGCAACCCCAGACATCGGGGTTCATGAAAAAAATCGGGAAACGCGGGGTGGTGTGGCATACCCCACCCTTCCCATTGTAAAAATGGAAGTTGAGAAGGGAAAAAAGGATTCGGGGCCACACATTACAGGGGCCGCCCAAACTCTGTGTGGGTGTGTGGGTGTGTGCATGCGCATGTGTCTTCAATGTATATATGCTATCTTGAAGGTCTGATACAGTCATAAGGAGGGCACACTATGTTCTGTGCAATGGATAGCTCTGACAGTTCTCTCTCCTTTTTTTGGTTGTAATAATGAACACGAAGACAACGCACCCTCATCATGACTGTATTGGACTTGAAACATACCCTCTACTTTAAGAAAGAGAAAGAGAGAGGGGTAACAGCCACTTCGCAAATCGGAAAGTTCGTCAAGTGGCCATTACCTCTCTCTCTCTCTCTCTCTCTCTCTCTCTCTCTCTCTCTCTCTCTCTCTCTCTCATCCTCGTGCCGCACCTCCACGTGGTGGCGCTCGACTCGCCGGCGCGCTGCGGCTGATCCGTTACGCTGCCGCACCTACGTTCAAGGCCATGAACATGCCGTGAACAAGCGTGACTTCGTTCATGCTTTCGTTCCTGTGCACGGATGCACGTTCACAAGCGTGAATGCGAGTTCACGCACCGGCTGCC